TGCCAGCAGAACTGCCAAACATCCATGTCTTCTGGGCTGTGTGGACAAGCCCTAACAGCTGCTCCACAAGGACAACACACATAGCCCACCTCGCTTTCTCACTGGATAGGCACATGGAAGTCAAAATGTTCAGAATAATTCAAGTTCAAAAGCAAATATAAAAGGAGTCACCAGGGACCAGGTCACCAGGATTCTGGGGACCCGAGAGAGACTCCGGTCCTCATCCTGGGGGTAACAGTGAAATGCTGAGATTGGCATTTTTTTAAATCTCTCTCTATAGAGAATGATTGGGGCAGGGGCAGAATGGAAGCTGAGCCCTGGCAAGAGCGAAGGTGACTGAGGGTAATATCAGAAAAAGAAAGAAAGGGATGGATTTGAGAAATACGAAGAAAGACAGGAGGAGCTGATGGTTAATTATAAACACGGTAGGTAGCAAGGGAGAGGAGACAGTGATAAATATAGAGCCCCATAAATAGATGGCAGGTTTCGTGGGCAAAGAAAGACTTCTCAAGATTGAAAACACCATAACCAAACTACTGCCAGGATACTGTGCCGGCACATGGTAACTGAGAGAGTCCCATGCAGTTCCACCTCTGTGACCAGGCTTTCCCAGGTCCAGTTTGCTAAGGAAAAATAAGGTACACTATCGGTTTTGGGTCTGGGTATATTGTGACATTTGGGTTTTACATCTCACATGGAGTTTCATATTGCTCAGAGTTTTCTAGGAGTTCTAGTAAAATTGGAGGCTTTGTCTCCTGAGGGGCAAACAGCTCAGCCCTCCCTGAAGAAGGCAAGAGGCACACAACCCACCTAGAAAGAGCACAGAAGACCTTCACTGCCCCACCTTACGGGGTGGGGTGGGAGGCTTCCATCTAAAGAGCCACCTCAAGCTATTATTGATCTTGTGGATGGGAGTTTTTGTTTTGTTTTGTAAAAACATTGCTTACATTGTAAGCACCAGGAAAAAGATCAGAAAAGAACAGTGAACAAAGGGGCTGGAAAAAAGATGAAGACACAATTCTACAGCCTAGCGTCACCTCTGGCAATCCACAAATCATTATGAATTCTGGTGCCAGAGGCTGCCAACCTTGAGTCATAACCATGAGGCCCTCGTGGGGACCCAAAGGTGGTCTCTACGTCGTGATTCTCTTCTCTTGCGGCTGCAGTCCTCCCTGGTGATACCGGAGTTCCTAAGCTTGTCTACAGGAGCTACTCAAGCTTTACTTTTCAAGACAGTCAAATTTGGAAGCAATTACTCACAAAAGTACATCCTATCAGGTGCATCTTGGGCAGACAAAATCCAAATTGCCTTATTTCCTAATTGCCATCCGTCTAGTCACTAAGGATTGCTTGATTTACTGTGGAGTCATGAATAGTCCCCCTGTTTCACAGCAATCTTAGCTTTATTGAAGGGTGGGGTTACCTTTTATCAAGAAACACAATGGGGTTATAAAGCACTGCCTAGGCAAGTCACACAGAACGTCCGCACCTGCAAACTTTTTACGCTGCCTGGAGATGATTTCAATACAGCTCAGCAAAAAGCACTGCTAACCTGGGCAAGATGCCAGCGGGGTATTGTCAGAACAATTCAACATGTTGCTGGCGTCTTCCGCTTCCTAAAACCAGAAGTCACCCCACACAAAAAAGAATTCAATGCTCAAGAAAAGTAAAAATAAGAATAGAAGGGTTTTTTTTTTTTGCCCCTACCCTTTCAAAGGAAAGCAGGGTCAGGTCTTTGGGTTTGCTAACCTGTGCATTTAATCAGACAGGAGAGATGAACATTAAGAGACACTTGATGGGGTGAGCACTGGGTGTTATGTGTTGGCAAATCGAACTCCAGTAATAATTTAAAAAAAATATATATATATATAAATTTTTTAAAAAATAGAACAGAAAAAGAGACAAGTCTTAAGGATTGAGACACCGTGCTCCTTTTGGGTGTGGACAGCCGGCTGAATCAGAAAGGGCCTTCTGCTGTCAAGGACATGAAGGCAAGACCAGGGCCCGGCCCGCCGACAGCCACAAGTGTGCGCATGTGTGCGTGTGCCTGCAAGCCTGTGTGTGTCTTCCTGCTGTAATTTGTGGCGAGAATAAAAGCAAAACATAGCAGCAATCAAGCAAGAGTCCCGGTGCCAGGGCAACGGTACGTTCCCTGCTTTGTACTGGATTACGCTCACAGTGACCTCCACCCCGTCTGGAAGAAAACTGCGCTGGGTGGCTGGCCTCCACTGTATTAGCTTATTGATTTTCCATCTCTTTCCCTCGCCTAAGAACCTACCAGACAATGTGAAAAACTGCTATCATCGAAAACACTCGTTTCAGTTCCCAAATTAAATCTTATCAACAACATGTGCTTAGAAAAGCAGAAAGAAAACACCGGGAAGCCTTCTTCTTCTGGGCCCAAACACAGAACTGGCATGAACTCTGGGTTCAGGACCAAATGAACTAAAAGCAAGAAATGGTGTTGTTTTTAAATAAGGCATTTTTTAAAAGGTTGAGAGAGTTGCTCTCAAATTCCACAGTGGCCTTGGAGTCGGAATCCCTGCGTTTCTCACCTCTGTGCACGAATCACAGAGGCTGGGGATGGCTAATGGATGGATGGTCACCGTGGGAGCAGAGACCGAGTGCTGTGAAGGGTTTAAAACTGAAGACAGTGCTACTGTTAACTATGATCACAAATGACCCCCTTCTTTAAAATACTTGCATGGGGGCGCCTGGCTCAGTGGTTGAGCGTCTGCCTTTGGCTCAGGGTGTGATCCCGGGGTCCTAGGATCGAGTCCCTAGCAGGCTATCCATAGGGAGACTGCGTCTCCCTCTGCCTATGTCTCTGCCTCTCTCTCTGCATCTCTTAAGAATAAATAAAGTCTTTAAAAAATAAGATAAAAATAAAATACTTGGCATGGATCCACTTGGTATATTATTACATACCTTTGTAAGGGCCACCAACTAATTAGAGATATTCAAATTCCTTTTACTGCCATCCACTATTAGTTTATTATTAGGCCAAGGAAGAGACTCATTTAATCCAGCAGGTGGTTTTCCAACCAAACTGGGGCGTCTTTGCCCTGGAAGTAAGGACTCAATAAATGAGCACCAACCCCCATTGCACCAATCATACCAAAGGGCAAAGAACAATCAGCCTGACAGAGAATTTACATGCCAAAGACTCCACCAAATGTTTAAAAAAAAAAAAAGTAAAGAAAACTCTGTATTTGCCATTTTATCTGAGGCTGAATTCACCTCGTAAATGAAGGAGAGCTTAAAACCAACCAGCTCACTCGAAATAGCTGAATCTTAAGAAAAAGTGCCCGGAGTCTTGGCAAACATTTTCTTTCTTTTTTTTTTCTTTAAAGGGCTCCACAGGCAAGGCTTTCCAGAGGCTGCCTGCTGGGAAGAGGAAGACAGATGAGAACCCAGGGGGGGTTGAAGCAGCTCCAGGCTAAGGGAGCACTGGTCAGGCAAGGCCTCATTCTCCAGGGGAGGTGGTAACACTGGGCCTGTGGGACCTGAGCACTGGTGGCCGGGGGGCTGTTATCTGTCCTGCTCTGCTCCCATCCTTCCTTCACGCTGCACTTGCGTTCAAGGGAGCCCCTGCATACATCCCCCTGCTTCCCAAACTCCAAAACCCAGAGGAAGAGGCGGAGGGAGGATACTGACATTCGTAGCATCTGCAGCCTCCTGTCCTCAGCTGAGGATCCAGACATGAAGGCACCTGGACAGGAGGTCTGCTCTCATCGTTCTGCATGATCTCGCCGGTTCTTAGCAGCACCAGAAGCCCTGACTGTCTACAAACTGGAGAAAAGTGTAACGGCCCTATAGGTGCCTTGAGGGCAGAGCCTGGTGCTGGATGCTGCGGCTGGAGAAGGCCTCCCTGTCTGCCGGGGCCTGCACCATCCGGCCGCTCAGCCGTGGCCCAGTGCGATCTGGTTGAGAGGAGAGCCACTCGGGTCACCCTCCTGCCTAAATCCCTCCAAGGGATGGTGTGTACATCGAGTGTGTATTTATGCAAAACATTTGTGCACATCACTGTCTCTGAAACTTCAATTTAAAAGAAGTAAAAATTTTTTGAAACGCCCCCTCCAGCAGTTTGGAGATAAAACCAATGTCCTTCCCATGGCCTGAAAAGTCCCCAGGACCCGGCCCTTCGTCCCTCTCTGACACACCCTCGTGCCCCACTCTCCCCAGGCTCACCCCTCTCCACCACCTGGACTTCCCTAGTCTTCCACGTGGGTTGCCACGTTGGGATCCATGTCTGGCAGTTCCAGGGCCCCCTCCTCACCCACCCACCTCAGAGGAAATGCCACTCCTTCGAGAAGCTTCCAATCTAAATCTGGCCCCAGATAGTCTCTCTTGTTCTCTTCTTCATAGCATTTTCCACAAATGCTAGTGTCGTAGTTATCCATGGCCTTAGGGAACTGTCTCCTTCCAGGGAACTAGGGTTTGGGCCTGTCCTGTTCCCCAACCTATTGCTAGCACGGAGTCTGGTATACAGAAGGTGCTCAAGAATCTTTGTGGAATCCAAGCGTGCCCTCTGGCTACATGTCTCTGCCTCAGTTCTTTTGTGTGTAAGAGGAGCGCCACTCTTTGCGGCAGGTATGCCACGGAGCAGGTTCCACGAGGACCCAAGAGGACAGTCATCCCTCTCCTTGTTCCCAAATTCAAAGAATAATACTTTTGTCCACGTGACCAGTTATTGAAAGATGGAGAACCACTAATCATGAGCCACTGGGGGAAAAAAAACCCCATTTCATCTACTGGAATCTCCTGGGAAGTCACTCTTGGCCTATTTTCTTGAGGCTGACCCATCAAAAGTTCCTTTATCGGATCCTCAAAGGCCTTTATTTTTCAGCCCTGAAATCTGGGGGCTGGAACTCTGCCCTCTGAGATGGTTCCAAGACCTCCTCCCACTGACTATGTTATTTCAAATCACGTTTTACAAATTTTTAGGTCCCAGGGGGCTGCTCGTGTGTATAAAAAAACGAGATGTCAAAACAGTTTACCTATGATGTTCACCGTACTATCCACTTCATTTTTTATAGCTGAAGTCAGGACGGCATACTCAGGAGAAAGATCACTTACTCCATTACTAAGCCCCAAAGATGACTCAACTGGTTCTTGCTAGGAAGAAGAAAAGAAAAAAGAATTGAGAACACTTCCTTTCCCTCCCTCCTTTTTCTTAAATTCTACCCTCTACTTTTTTTTTTTTTTTTTTAAACTGCTAGGGTCATGCTCGTCCCCTGAATACATTCCCTACTAATTTAAATCAGCCTGGAGCTAAAGCAGCGCATTTCTGGATGGAGTACACTGCCAGGTATTTGCCTACTTTCATTTTCCTTCGAGGACATGGTTCAAGCCCATCTGGTTTGCTTTTATGAAAGGCTTACACCTGTAGACGAGTCTGGGGGCTGCGTGGGGCTGCAGAACTGTCTGTGGGAAGTAGCGTGAGCCTCGCTTCCAGATCCCTCTTCTCTGAGGGAGTGCTCCTAAGGGGCAATTCCTGGCTTTCTCTGGAAGGAATCATGCCACCTCTTTGGAAACCTTTTCTGGGGGAAATGTCTGCCTCAACCACCGAGCCAAGAACAGGAGCCCAGGGGACTCTGTGAATGACTTCTCCTCCCATAAGGTTTGTCCTGCACCTTGGCCACTTGAGCACCAGGCCCTGGGTGGGTGGCCGGTGACACAGGCCAGATGGTGCAGGAGGCCTCCTCCCCCAGTGGAGTCCAACCGGGCAACCCCACACCCATGGCTTCCCACAGAGGCCTCCCGAGAGCCTGAAGGTCCCAGGCAGCCCGGGAGGCTACTCGTTCCTACTGATGAAGGGATGCAACGACTTCCTTGCCCCTTAGTGTAGCTCTTGCTTCTGCCTTATTCAAGTGCATCGGAACCCTCCAACCTCTGGGGGAGCCAACCAACTTTGGGGGGAGCCAATTCCTGAGCTGCATACTGATTTCCAGCATTTTGATGAGAGAGCTCTTCCTCGGGGTAAGATTGCATTTGCATCTATGAGAGGAATTGTGTCAGACAAAAAAAAAAAAAAAAAAAAGCCACACAGGACAAGTCCTTCGGGAAACCAAAATGAAGAGTGGGGGCAGGGGCGGGCAGAAAGAACAAGCTGGGAGCGGAAGATCATCAGAGGTACAGATGCCTGTGCTTTGAAAAATCCAGAGTGGGGGGCACCTCTAAGGCATGCGGGGTGTTCTGATGGGTTTATGTGCTACCTGGAAATCAACAGTGAACCCCCACCCCCACCCAGCCCCACTGTCGAAATCTTGGGAAAGCCACCTAGGGAAGGTCATGATCCCAACCTGGCAAACTCCCATCATGACAACTGTGACTTGGAAGACATCCCTTCACTACATAGCTCAGTCCTGAGAACCTCCCACCCCGCATGGCTCACAAGAGACACGACAGGGCGCAGAGGACGGGCCCAGGACGGGGAGCCCCCTGCCCCCCACCCCCGGGCAGCGTCTTTACCCCTTCCTCCTGCAGCGCCTTGCACTACCTCCTTGTATGAGGCCTTCCTGGGGATAACTCGCTTGCCTGTGACTGGAGTCTTCATCCTTTCCCCTCGTCTACAGCCAAACTTCTGACAAGGATCTGCCCTTCCCACCTTCCCCCCCCCCTTGCACCCCTGCACCCATGACAGAGCCTGGTCTGGCCACCACACCAGCCTTGGCCTTCAGCTCCAGCCCCTGCCTCCAGCCCTGGCCCCCTGCTCCAACCTCCAGCTCCAGCCTCCAGCCTCAGCCTCCAGCCCTGGCCTCCAGCTCCAGCCCTGGCCTTCAGCTCCAGGCTCCTGCAGGGCTGCTATGACCAGGTTCGCAGTCATGCAGGACCTGGGGTCAGAGCCTGGCTCCGTCACCTTGTGATGGATGCAGGAACTCATTTTACCCAATTCAGCCTCATCCAGGGCACTATAGACAGCAGTAAACCAAGGACAGTGAGGACCCCACGTCCCAGGGATGATGTGATAATTAAGTGAGATTATGTGCACCTGGCACTTACTATCAAGTAAATGCTTCCAATCATCCAAGCCTCAGTCAGGCCAATAAAACTGTTCTCCCAAATACTATGACCTGTCCTCAGGTGCTGGGGTTCAACCCCACACTCTGACATCCAACAGGGAGGAAGGACAGCACTACCCCTCTCGCCAATGTGACAGTCCCACGTTATTCCAATTCTCCACCTTCTCGTGGCAACTGCCACTCTCGCTGCTTCCTCAGGGGCATCTTCCCATGTCTCCCCACCCCTCCACCTCATTGTGCTCCGTGTGTCACTTGGCCACTTCCTTTCCCTCAATTAGCCCAAAGGAACCACGTACAGAGCATCAGAAGGAATGATGAAAAGAACCGCTAATCTGTATGGCTTTCTTTCGTTGTCGAGTTATTTCTTACTCATTCTGCTTCTAGATTTCTTATAAAAGTAATGAGGCAGTCGAGACTTGCACGTATTTAAAAACCTAAATTATTCTGATCTCAACTGAAGGCCTCGGAGTGTTTCACATGATCTACTGTTTAATTAGCGGCAAGTGATACTTCTATCACTTTACACTTGAGAAAACATGACTCAGAGACTAAATTAATTTTCCAAGATCACTCTACTTTTAGCTTGAGGAGATGTAAGAACTGAACTCAGTCTCTGGTCACGCCACACGATCCTATTCCAGGAGCTTTCTGCCTTAATAAACCCTGCACTGATCCCAGTGGAGATTCAGAAGGAACTATTTTTGACACCATTGTAGTCTCCACCCAACCCCACCTTGTGTCCTGCGCTACTTCTCTATCGGAACGGTACACTCTCTACCATCGGAGACTAAGTCGGACTCTTTCGGACACTGTCTGACTCCTCCTGTCCCACTCCTCCCATCCCCTGTTGCTTCTGAAGTCTTCAGTGCCAACCATCTCATTGGTCCTATCACTCTGGAAGAACAGTATAGTAAACTGAGCAGTGGTAGGCAGCCAGCATCTCTCCGAAAGGTCTCTCTCTATTCAGGGTGCAAGATGAGGATCTTCACTGTACTCGGTCAAACTAACTATATACCTTTTTCATTTTTAAGCAAGGAACTCAAATGAAAAGAAGGGGTGCACAGTTCTGTATGGAACGTGTGCGCAGAGGTCTCTGTCCAGCGTCTCCTAGTCCCATCGGGTGCCCACCCCTGCCCCGTCCCCTGCCTTGTTCTACCGTAGCCTGGCCTCATTAATCCTAGGCCAGCCTCCCTCTCTCTGGCCCCTTTCTTACTTAGATGTAGGTTCACTTATGAGTCAACTAGTTTTGGTTTCTAACCTGCTCCCAGAGGAAACCAAACGGAGACTACGCCTTAGTGCATTAACTTTGCCACGTATGTACGGTGTATTAACTCTGCTTCCGTGGTGCATTCACTCTGCCAAGTATGTATGCCCAAGAACCTTTTTTCACAGCATAGGATCTAAAGTTTGGTCTGCAGTTTAAGGGGTTTAGGGGCAAAGGCACAAACTGGCACAAGAGGTCCAGGGCAGGAGCCACTCTCTATAGACCTCTAACGTAACACATCTTTGGTCTCTAAAGCTACGCTTGCGGCATGGGCGTGAGGATGGGCCCAAGTCAGAGGACAGCAAGGACTACTCAGCCCCCTCTGCTCCAAGTCCATTCCATCTCATCCCTGAGCCACAGCCCCTTGTCTAGATGTCACTTTCCTTAAGACCAAATGCAATGGCCGCGTGAGCTTTTCCGTCTGCAACCCAGCCCCTACTGCCAGCAGTGCCCTAATTCATCTGTGCAAAGCCAGTCTCCTTGAAGCCAAATGTAAGGACATCTCTAGGTCTCTCTACTAAGTAAAATTTCAGGCTGACAGCTGGGCTTCATAAAGTAGCCCAGGGGTGGGGTGCCTGGGTGGCTCCATCGGTTGAGCATTCGACTCTTCAGATCTCAACTCAAGGTCTTGATCTCAGTGTCGTGACTTCAAGCCCAGCATGGAGCCTACTTAGAAAAACAAAAATAAAAAAATAAAAGTAGCCCAGAGGGATTGCACACTCCACACCATGAGGCGGCTAGTAAAACAGGCTGATGCCTCCTGCCAGGTCCTACGACACCATCCTCCCTTCCTTCCCTGGAACTAGACCGCCTTCATTCTCCTCCTACTCTCATTGTGACCTCCCTTTGACTTCTCTCCTTGGCTCCCTTTCCTCTTCGCCTTGTCCTTGGGTCTCTGTGTGTGTCTGATACAGCTTCTCCTTGGAGCAGGCACCTGCTGTCAAGGGTCCAGTATCATTCCTGAGCATGTGACCACACACCTGCGCCCCCCACACTTACCAGAGCTCTGGGCCCATCAGCTCCCACTCTCTACCTGACATTTGTTTCAGAGAGCTCTCTGTCCTCTCAAACTCAACATGTTCCAAGTTAAACTCCCCCTCTACTTCTCCACAAAGCATGCTCCACTCCCAACGTTTGCTCCTGGGAGGTGTGAAGACCCAGGGCTTCCTCTTTGATCTACTCCTGTCTTCATCCTCCGTATCCTCTCCAACATCGCCTCTCTTTCCACGTGCCACCATCTTCATCTTCACTTGCCCTCCACTTGCTCTTCTTCTCCTCCCCTCCATTCCTTCTTACTGCCAGGAGAAAGACCTCCCCCCCTTACATAGCAACTCCGTCACGCTCTGATCCTACCCAAGGAGTTCAACACCAAGCCTTATTTTGCAACCTCATCCATAGAGGTTACTCTGTCACCCAGTCTTCAGACTGAGCCCTGAGCGTAACCTCAAGAGCCACCGGGAGCGGAAGGAGGCACCAGTGCCAAGCAGGCAGGGCAAGCCCTCTCTCCTGCTCCATCCGGGCCAGCTCTGATTTTATCTGTTTTTGAAGTGGGTTGCCACTCTGTGTTTTCATCTGGTTAAGGTTTAAAAACGGAAGTCCTCTTCCAACCGATGAAGGGATCCCTCCAGTATCAGCCCCGATGGGTGGCCTTTGGACGGTGACAGGGAGCCTGTTGTTTTTAATCTAGCTCAAGTCACCATCAGAGCCAACAGCTCGATTAGAAAATTCTGCTAGAAACCAGTACCTGCTTCTCTGCAACTTCTCCCCAGCGGTCTGCATTCAGAACTGACACAGGCCAGGTCTGCTCTCTCTCTACCAGGTGACGTTAGAGACCCTCCTCGAATAGATTTCCCATCTCAGCACCAAGGCTTTGATCTGGAAGCACTTTATAGTTTCAAAGCATTCATGTTTCATCTGCAAACAATCCTGGGAGGCGGGCAGTATTAATTTCTAATCCTCCCCACCCACGGCCTTTTGTTTCACACTGTTGCCTCACATAGACTCCTGCTCTAATGAAGCGGGTTTCCTGATTCATCCAGCAAAGACTAAACAGCAACCTCCAACTTCCTGGCCTTCATCTGATGCTCCCGGTGCTGGGGATTGACTACCATCTTGCTTCACCCACACCCCAAAGCCAGGCTCGGGTCCCACAGCTCTTGAAATGCCAAGAGGCACCAGGTACGGTGAACAAGCGTGGGTTTGGGAGCTGGATTGACCTGGATTCAAATCCCAGCTTCGTAAAGCACTGCTACCTTGGGGAAATTACTCACCCCCCTCCCACCCCGGCCATGCCTCCAGCTCCTCATATGCAAACAGAAGATGACCTGGCCACCCCAGGGAGAGCTAGATGACATAATAATTAGTGCTCAGAACTTGGTAGAGGCTCAAAAATGTCAGCTACCACCCCCCTCTGTTTATCCCCTTCTCTCCTGACTGATCTTGGCCCTGGGACATTTTTGGAAACACATACATGCACCGATGATGCACGACATAGGATGGTTCACTGTTGCCTATCCTAGTCTTATTTCCTTAGACGGCCAGTTACCTCTACACAGGCAAGGCCTACTTTAAGTAATAAATGGCTCACTGAGTTCAGAGCATATTTACTCCTAAAAAGAACATCAAAGAACATTGAGGCAGAGTTCCTGCACCTACCACGTGGCCAGTAGGGTCTCAGTTTCCCAGTCTTGGGGAAGATATTTGCTGAGGGGAACAACTGCCTGAGTGACCCAGGGAAAATCCTGACACTTAGCCCACATGTGCTAAACATCCTTTGCTAGTTAAAACTTCAACTCAAACTCAATGAAGACTGGGAGGAGCTTGTCTCAATAGCAAATCTTCACCCCTAGTTACCACACGCAAGACAAATGCTGTCAGTGGAAGAAACCTGTCTCATCAACCCTGTTGCACTTCTGCATAGGACATATTAACTCAGAGCTTAGACGTTGTGACAACAAAAAGTAATGTATTAATAGCTCGGTAAGGATAAAGTCCTTCAACTATACAATTCCACGCAACTTGTAGAGCTCACTTGGGAATGTTCTATAGCAACATTCAGTGAACACCATGGTGTTAGCTGTCAGGAGCCACAAAACCTGGGAAGGCTACTGGCCTTATCTATGTGTTGCTGCTACACTGGGACAGATGCAAGCAGATTTCAATTCAAAAGTTAGGCTGTGAGGGGCACCTGGGGTGGTTCAGTGGTTGAGCATCTGCCTTTGGCTCAGGTCATGATCCAGTCCCTCATCGGGCTCCCCGCAGGGAGCCTGCTTCTCCCTCTGCCTATGTCTCTGCCTCTCTCTATGTCTCTCATGAATAAATAAATATGATCTTAAAAAAAAAAAAAGTTGGGCTGTGGTTATTTCTGATGGAATTGCCTGTCTTCTGCTGAAGGAACAATGTCCCTGTGAGGGATAGGTCTTAGGTATTCACCAAACTGTCATCACTGGAAGACCTTACAATATACACTTGGCTGGGACGGAACTTGACCAATGCAGCTCTTTGGAAGAGGAAAACTCTCACTTGTTTCCCTGGGGCAGTATGGCCCAACCTCACCCAGGACTGTCCATTCCACAACTTGCTGCACTGATTGGCCATATGGAAGACACTACCATGTCCTCTGCTTATGAGAACACCCCGTGTCATCAATTCTAAAATGCACATCTCCTCGAATGTCCACAGCCCTAAAATAGAATGTGCCTTGTAATCAATTATGGGCCATGGTTTCATTACAAGCAGTTTTTCTTGCTTAGACCTCCCTAAAATAATGGTGTATCTTATACTTATTGGCATCTGATATTCAATGGACTATGGAAGATGTGTCTGAGCAAGGTTTGCTGAAAGTGAACATCGGTCACTCCATTCTTCCCTGTCTCTTAACTGACATTATAACATTAAATCTGCATTGCAATGTAAAACCTCTACTCCTGCCTCACACATTTTATTTATTTATGCATCTATTTGGGGATCAAATATGTATTATCTGTTCTGTAACAGACATTGAGCTAGATGCCATGAAAGTTGTAGTAAATATGACATAGTCATACTTAAGATGGTAGCAAATTCTTCCAAGTCACGTATTTGTGGGGAAGTGAGTTTAGTTTTCTGACTAAACAACACTAATGAAAATGCAGGCCCCAGAAAAAAAAAGCCAAACTCTGGGAAACTTGATACAACTAATAACTCATTTTTTATTTCAGTTGCAAGGAAAAATAAAATTTTTAAAAAGTGATGTTAAGGGAGACTTACAGATTTAAAAAATGTATAAATGAAAAGACTTAAAGATTTTTAAAAAATGTTAAGAGACATACCCCCAAGTCACAGTGTGTGAACCTTAGATGGATTTTCATTCAAGTAAACGGACCATATAAAAATGACATCACTTATGACACCTGGGAACCTGAACATTGACTGGATATCTGACAAAATTGAGGATTTACTAATTCTTCAGATGCTACAGTGACACTGTGTTATTTTTAAAGAATGTCCATATTTTAAGGTGTACACTGAAATAGTTATGGGGAAAAAAATGATACGATGTGGGATTTGCTTGAAAATAGTGTGCTGAACCATACAGAATGGTTTTTGTGAATCAAAAATGGCCAAATATCTGTCATTCCTATGGGGTGGAGGGACGTGGATGGAGTTACTCCTGAAACAGAATAGCCAGGAGCTGGTTAATGTGGAAATTGGGGTGATGGTGACAGAGCAAATTCTACTCAGTTGTCTCATCCTGTGTGCATAAAATGTTTCCATGATAAAAAGTTAAGAGACAATTAGGCCTCAGTACTCTGCTGTATTTAAAATAAGTCACAAACTGTAGATATTTTGAGTGAAACTGGACATATCACTGCTGAAATACTCTGCTGAAAATATTTGTTTTCCACTCGGAAGGGAAGGGGAATATGAAACTTTAACACTTGATTTCAGCTTCCCTTCAAACTATCTCTATCCCCACAAGTCTCACTTTATATCAGAAGTCAGTATTTCTGTATTTCTTCTGACTGTCTGGACTAACTGGCTTGCTTTTAAACACTGTGCTGTCTGGACGGTTTGGTTCTTCCCTCCGATAGTGATTCTGGATTAGGAATCGGAATACTTGGCGTCACCTTTAAGTGCAGTTCTACACGACCACGTGACTTTGGCCATGAGTCCCACGGCCCTTGGGCCCACGGCCCTCAGCTCCCTTGAACCTCAGTTTCTTCATTTTGTAAACAGAGTGCACTGAACCCTAAGACAGTCTTCTCTCTGATGGCCTGTAGGCCTGGGGGTGTGGTATCTCCTCTTTGCTCAGCAACTGAAGCTCATCCTCAATTTGGCATGGATATTTGGCTATGCTCTGGCTATTTAACAAAGGCCTTCCAATCCAGGCACAAAGATGCTCACACATCAGGGGATTCCAGACTACACAGCCCCCTGAAAGGCTCACATGCACATGCACGCGCACGTGCACACACACCCCTACAGAAAACCTTTGGGAGTCGTGAGAGTCAGTTCTGGGATGGAGCAGAGAAAATCGGCTGGGAACTAAACTAATAGGGTGTTCAAAGGTACCCCCCAACCTAATGGCATGTCATGGAATAGATAACGTAACAGGTAGGTGATATGTATTAATACAAGTATATAATACATAATATGCCTTAAGATCTACTGAATAGCCTGGAAACGTACTCGATATGATCAGATAGCTGGCTTTTGGAGCTCGCCTGGAGCTCCAGGCCCCGCTGGCAACAGTCGTGGGGACCAGATGGAGGCTTGAGGCCAGCTCAGTGTGAACTGGGGACTTCATTCATAAATTGTTCAGTGAGATCGGATTAAGCAGGGGATAGGTGTACTGAGTCTGCGCGAGGGGACAGGCCAAAGAGGAGACATGAAAAGCACAGAAAACACAACAGCCGAAGAAGAAAGATCAAATACGTCACAGGGATCATGTTACTTGTTTTTATGAGACAGAACAGGAATTACTAACACAGTCACAACTTTGGCTTTTTCATCTGAACCACCAAAGATTACCTTGATGTGCTTAACTCTGTCTTCTTTCTCTGTCTTTGGTTTCTTTCCTGTGGCAACAACAAAAAAATAGTTGGGGGTCACTTCCTGAGGAATATACAGAGAAACGTTCCCCCCCACCTCCTCAGTTCTTTCTGGAACTCTCAATGAACTCTGTATATGCTTTAATCTACACATGGTCAAAATTCCACAGGGTTCTCTGACCGTCTCTGGTGACCTGATGGTCACTTGCCCCAGCCAGGCAGAGCTGGGACGATCATCCACAGTGTGAACAAGTGTTCTAACCTCAGACTTACCACAGATGTGGAAATACAGAAATCATGAAGGTATGGCAATATGTATTACATGGCCATTATTCTAGTCAGTAAATATCTACCTTTCTTAGAAGGTCGCTCAGATAAGGGCAACATCCGGTACACTCTGAATGCATTGTTTCCCTTCTTTATACTTTTATCCTTGACTTCCTCAATGTCAGGCAAGGAGTTCATGGCACATCGAAAATTCGCCTTCCATGTTTTTGGATCAGGTTTATCTACTCCCGGTTGATGCTTTCCTAACAAAATAGCCAAAAGAATGAAGGTTAAGAAAAACAGGGGAAATCATATAGGGTAGAAGTTTCTGGAAACATAGTCTTGCTGACCAGGTACTGCAGAGACCCCATCATTTTTTTTAGAGACCCCATTTTTAATTCCAGGCTACTACAGATTTGCCTGGGACCAAGACTGAATTCCTGGGATGTGAGAACTTTTGTCTTAAAACCTGGACAGCTCTGGGCAAACTGGGACAAACCGGTCACCCTGGCATGAGAAAAAATTAATAATGATAGAAGATAGGAGTCAAGGTAAGTAACAGAGAAAGCTTGGCAGGTCTGGGAGGCCAACAAGCCCAGGTAACTAGAGTGCCTCTTTTTCATCTGACTCTCAAATATTAGTAAAAAGGCTATTCCTATAAACATCTCCCTACTTACATTTTCTTATAAACTAATATATTCTTGATTACCTTTTGGAGAGATAAATTCCAACCAAATTTACCACTCCAGAACAAATAGGTTCTATATTCCCCTGGCGTACACCTGAAGAACATAATCAGAATCCCACATTTACAGGAAATTTAAGGACTAAGTTGCCATAGGATGGGCAAAGTATCACTTCTGAGTGATAGAGTCTGTGGCCCATGGGTCCTGGATGGGATGTGCCTGGGGACACGCCACAGGTTTTTCAGAGCTGTCTTCATGAGGCCATAAGCCATATACATGCAGCGGGGAAAAAAAAACCAACAATGGTTATTAACACTGTATTGTAGAATTGAAATTTGCTGAAAGTAGAACATCAACGTTCTCACCAAAAATAAAAAATAAAAGGTCAAATATGAGAGGTAATGGATGTGTTAATTAATGGGGAGAATCATCTTTACATAGTGCATAAATCAAATCATCACGTGGTATGTTCTAAATATCTTGCAATTTTATTTATCCATTATATCTCAATTTTTTAAAAAAAGAAAGCACTGGGGCACCAGGGTGGCTCAGTCGGTTAAGCGTCTGCCTTCAGCTCAAGTCATGATCTCGGGGTCTTGGGATCAAGCCCTGAAAGTCGGGCTTCCTGCTCAGTGGGAAGTCTGCTTCTCCCTCTGCCCCTCCCACCCCACTCCTGCACTCTCTCTCTCTCTCTCATATAGATAAATAAAATATTTTTAAAAAGGCATGAAAGCAACAACAACAATAGCATCTACCTCTATACAGATGCGGTTTTAATACCTGTATGGATCGCCCAGTTTCTAAAGAGTGGTGCATCTTTTTCCACATCCCACCCATGTCTAGCTGCATGCATCCAAGGGATCTGGAAAATCTTCTTTTCCTAAAAAAAAAAAAAAAAAAAAAGGGAAGAATTAAAAAAAGACTGCGGCAATAGGGTTTTAGCCACCTTTACAGAAGGTCTTTCCATCCTAGCCAGTAAGATTCTCTACTAAGGGACACTGGGTGTGCAGAGTGTCTATGGCAAAATCCACTAGGAACCAAACCTCCCTCCTCACTGGGCCCCAGATCTTGACAGTCCTACTGGGGAAGAGATTCAGAGTCGTATGAAGTCTGGCAGAACAGGAATGCATGCCAAGGTCCAAGGACTTGATTTGGGGATATGCCAATGTGTTCCATTATGTGTGCCATTTCTCCTTAAAGGACCACAGATGACTGGCCACCGACCGAAACTTCTAACGCTTATTGTCATCATTGATTTCCATCATTTGCTAGAGAGGAACTCCAGTTGCCTTAGGTAAATTAAAATTTAGGCAACTTTCCAAAATTATACCCATTTGTGCTGCTAAAGGGAAATTGGGGTTATCTGAGGTCATGGCCACAGAGATCAAATACCTCAAACTACTGTGCAGCCAACAGAAATAGAAGATTCAGTCTAATGTGTCTACTCAGGGGTTAGAACCTGCATGAAACAGCAAGAAGTGCAAAGATGTATGGCAAGTGTGGCCATGATTACTACTTTTCTAGAGAAAAGGCTTTTGGTACAAATCTTATGGTAGACCCTTTCCATCTCTCTCACAGCCTTGAGAGGTAGGTAACTCAGTTTATACCAACCCTGGCAAACATGGGATTGGACACTAGCGTTTTGGAAACAACTTCTTTAAGCAACAACTTGTGCAACTTCTTTAACCAGCAATCCTGACAGGACCAGCAGTCACTAAGTTCCCACGGCACTTCACATTTGACTGCCCACCTGTTCACATGGTCTGAGTTTCCTTTTTTTGCAAGCACCTACTGAGCTACATATATGTAATAATTTCTGCTTTACAGTTGAGGAAACTGAGGAAGAGAATTAAATTATACAGCTAAGGAAGTTATCAAAACAAGTGTCCAAATTCAAAACCAGGTCACGTACCCCACACTCAATCACCTAGTCACATCACACGCTGTCTCCCAGGAGTCAGATGGAGATTTCCCATCCTATGACACATCTGTTGTCTTGGATTCTGTGGAAACCAGGCCCAGGAAAACTGTGTGTTTTTAAGCCCTAGAGGTAGTTCTGGTAGTTTCTAGGTATGGGGAATCCTTGCACAATATACCGGGAAAGGAAAAAAATGTCAGTAGGGATTTTCCACCACTTTGGTCTCACACAATGAAAGACAGGAAGGGTCCCAGTTGACCCCCAAAAGGACTCAATGCCTCTATAGAAGCCTGAGCTAAAAATAGTTCAGAATATTTGAGAGTTCCCCAAAAACTGTCAAAAGGGAAAATTCTGTTGTATTTAAAACTCAGTTAATAAAAAGAACTGAAAGTGAGAGACTTCTCATAAACCCCTCCCCATCCATGGAGATAGCATGGTTTCAGGTCAGCCATTTCCAAAGAGCAGTGATCAGACAAGGGCTGGGTGAAATTTTATTTTATTCTATTTTATTTTATTTTTTAATTTTATTTTTTTAATGTAGATGTAACATCAGAAAGCAGAGTCTTTTAATGCAGTTTTTGATGTTCACATGAAAATGAAAAAAAAAAAAAAACAACAACAACTAAATGTATTTTGGTGAAGGAAGTTCTCCTGAAAGTGCAACCAGCATCTAAATGTTTATGCCTAAAGATGCAGATCCTTTATAGAATTGCTGCTGCACATTTCTGTAGGTCCAAAGAGTTGTGGAGGTGATGCAATCTGAAATCTATCTTAAACACAAAGTTGATTCTGATAGATTTTATCACTAATCATCAGGCCAATGCATCTCAAAACAATAATGAGATACCATCTCCTACCCCCCAGGATGACAGAATAAAGTAATATAAGTAAATAAATAATAAGTTGGTGGTCAGGATGGAGAAAGAGGAACATTCCTACATTGCTGGCGGGAATGTCAAATGGTGTAGACGCTGTGGAAATCATTTGGCTATTCCTCAAAAAGTTAAACACAGAGTCCACAAGACCCAGTAATTTCATTCAAAGACTTATAAACAGATGTCGAAACAAACATTTATATGTGAATGTTCATAACAGCACTACTCACAATAGCCCAAATGTCCATCAACCAATGAATGGATAAAGGAAATGTTGTACATGCACAAAATGGAATATTATTCAGCCACAAAAAGGAATGTGGCATTGACAAGTGCGACAACACAAATGAGCCTTGAACATTATGCTAAGTGAAAGAAGCTTTCTACAAAAGGCCACATATTGAATGGTCCCATTTATGTGAAATGAGCAGAAAAGGCAAATCCACAGAGATAGAGAGCAGATTAGTGGATGCCTTGCACAACGAAAAGATTTAAAATACTTTGCAATGCAAAGTGACTGCTTAATGGGCAAGTGTTTCTTTCTGGGGTGATGAAAATTCTGGAATTATAGTGGTGAGGCTTGCATATAACATTATGAGTAGACAATGCTACTGAATTATACATTTAAAAAATGGTTAAAGTGGTAAATTTTTTAAAAACCTCATGTCACTTTTAACTAGTTTTTCATACTGCAAAAAATACTAACAAACATATCACATGTATCTTTTTTTTTAAAAAAAAACACTATGCTAAAGATAAAGAAAATGAGACTCATTTTAAAACTGAAAGAGATTCTGACCAATAAACATTCCAGTCATAGATCATTGTGTCCTATGGGATGGTGACAGCGTTGCTCTGGGTCTGTGTAGCCTCTGTGACATCAGTATGTGCCATTAGAAGCCCTGAGCGTCCCCTCCACACAGGCTGTGCACACTGTGTATGGAAGTACAACATGTTCCAGACTCTACTCATGTTTATAGAGAGAGAAGACTCTGCCCACATGAGGGAAGGAGAGAGAATCACTGCTTGAGTTGAGAAGTTAAGATTATCTTGAGTAATGCAGAACAGACGTATGTTGACCCCAAAGGGAAACCGGTTCTCTTCACTCCCTCTGCCTCTTCCCTCCCCTAGTACTTGTAAGATGTTCCAACGTACACTATTTTTGTTTGGACTCCTTACCTTGTGCTGAGCCTGCCTGACATTTCCACAAGCACAAGCCTGTTTTCAATGTGAACAGAAGGATAAGGTATGGAGCTACCTGGTGACACCGTACACTTGGGGAGAGGCCTCAGCTCCAGGGTCTAGGCAGCTCTCCCACATGAAATGAGCATGTCAATAACTGAGTGGCGGGGCAGCCCGGGTGGCTCAGCGGTTTAGCGCCACCTTTGGCCCAGGGCCTGATCTGGTGACCCGGGATCGAATCCCACCTTGGGCTCCCTGCATGGAGCCTGCCTCTCCCTCTGCCTGTGACTCTGCCTCTCTCTCTCTCTCTGTGTATCTCTCATGAATAAATAAATAAATAAATCTTTAAAAAAAAAAATAACAGAGTGGGAATCAACCAGAGCTGTAAGAGAAACCACGAACCTGGTCATGGCTGCCTCCTTCCTTCCTCAAGAAATGGCCCAGAGAAACCACAAGCAAGCATTTGGACCAGTCCAGAACTGACCTGGTCTTTTGGACAAGTCAATGCCAAGAAGGAAAATAAATAAATAAATAAATAAATAAATAAATAAATAAATAAATAAATAAGGGCCACTGTTCATAATCAAGGCAATCAGGAGACACTTCAAGTCAGAATAGCATTCTCTGGATTCTGACTGAAGAAATCAATTGTAAAAACATATTTTTGGGGAATACACAAGGCATTCCGAATATGGATGATGCAGGGATGAGATTGAAAAATTATGATTAATGATGAGTGGTTTATTCAATTGGTGATCCTACTGTGAATACACAGAAAATGCTCTTAAGTCTTACTGACATGTAGTATCAGGGAGTTGCTTTCAAATGCCATACACATATACACACAGAAATATTTTAAATGTTAGTAATTTTTAAACTGGATGTGAATTTGAAAACTACACAAGAGGGGCGCCTGGGTGGCTTAGTCAGTTAAGTGTCTGCTTTTGGCCCAGGTCATGATCCCGGGGTCCTGGGACTAAGCCCCACATCAGGCTCCCTGCTCAGTGGGGAGTCTGCTTCTTCCTCCACCCCTTCTCCACAATGGTGCTCTTAGTCTCTCTCAAATAAATGAATAAAATGTTTAAAAATAAAAGTAAAAAAACAAAACTACATTAGAATGTGCAGGATTCCTAGGTGACTCAGTGGTTTAGCATTTGCCTTCAGCTTAGAGTGTGGTCCCAGGGTCCTGGGATCGAGTCCCACGTTGGGCTCCCTGCATGGAGCCTGCTTCTCCCTCTGCCTGTGTCTCTGCCTCTCTCTTTCTCTCTCTGTGTCTCTCATGAATAAATAAATAAAATCTAAAAAAAAAAAAGAATTTGCTATACTATTCTTTCTAGTCATTAGACTATTCAAATCTGCGAGTATGTTTGCAAATACTCATAATAAAAAGTAACAGGCCCAAGCCAAGGCCTTTTTCATGAGCTAGTGATAATGCTGCTTTGCCAGACATCCTCCCTGCTCCTTCAGAGGATACAAGCCATCACCATCCTCCTCAGGATGCATTAAGAATAAGAAATGAGGGACGCCTTGGTGGCTCAGCCGTTGAGCATCTGCCTTTGGCTCAGGGCGTGATCCTGGAGTCCCGGGATCTGAGTCCCACATGGGGCTCCCTGCAGGGAGTCTGCTTCTCCCTCTGCCTGTGTCTCTGCCTCTCTCTCTCTCTCTCTCTGCCTCTCATGAATAAATAAATAAAATCTTAAAAAAAGAAAAAGAAATGGAAACAAATTTAAGGCATCCATTAGCCACCTATTTGTCTCTTACTAAGATGTCCCGGATATGATGGACTCTCCACTTGAAAGGAACATGACACCCGCCAACCCGATGTGCTTAAGCCCAGTTATCTTAACAGAACGAAGCCACAGTCCCCAACACTGGTCCTCTTGGAGGGCACACACATCGCTCACCTAGAGCTGCCCACGGGTCAGGCAGGAGGCCTAGCACCGAGCCAGCGAGCAGCAGCAATCAAGACGTCCCTGGCCTGCTCTCCGGGGCCTTCCAGCACGGAGGCCTTCACCACCACCAACAACCAGTCCTGAACAACTAATGTGTAAGTGGGTAACAAAGCCCCACAGACAGTGCCGTTTTCTGAGTTATAACCAGTCCTCAGCAGGAGAAGAGATTTTACAATGACCCCAAGCCACTGAACACACAGTGGGGATTCTCAGAGTGCTTCTGAACAGAAGAGGGGGCGCCCGGTGGCTCAGCGGTTGAGCATCCGCCTTCGGCTCAGGTCACGATCTGGTGGTTCCAGGTGCTTCCTTGGCTCATGGCTGTGTCTCTGCAATCTCTACCTCTGTCTCCATGTGGCCTCTGCTCTCCTTTCTCTTCTACGGATGCTTGTCATCCCATTGGCCCAGCTGGACAAGCTAGGATAACCTTGAGATCCTTAACTTCTTCTGAAGACCCTTTTTTTCCAAGTAATTACACATCCACAGGTTCCAGGGGTTAGGACGTTAGCACAAACCAACCCACTAGGAGGAGAGTTAACCGCACCATATCAAGTGCCTACTCGTACAGGGGACGCAATAACACCGTAAGTCTACCCCTTGCATCGAGTCAGCCCAAATCAGTGGAGATATATATTTTTTTTAGTGGATATATTTTTAAAGAAGAAAAAAAATCACTTCTCTTCAGAAATCAGGAACTTCTGTTTAAATGTCATAAAAGGCAATGTTATCTTGTTCTTTAAAACATAATCCTACTTAGTGTCTCTATACCTTAGCTTCCAGGTCTGTAGAATGGAAAACATAACAGTATCTCCCCCATTGTGGGGATTATGTGAGTTGATGCATGTGTCTTGCTTAGACGAGTACCTGGCATTATTAAGAAGCATTAGTTTTTATTATTATTATCATTATTGAGCACCTTACGTTTCTTCAATTCTCCTTGATGACAGTCCCCCTTTCCTTCTCCACCTGCAGCTCCGCTAACCATGCAAGCCAAGACCCAACCTGATTTCCTGTTTGTTTCTTTGGAGCAGGCTAATTACAAAACCCCTTCAGGATACCAATCTGAAACATTATGGACAGAGCAAGCCTAGAAAAAGAAATTGTTTGCCATAAGACCTTCAGATAGAGGGCAGCTCACCTGAAATGAGCACATCGTTTACTTATTTCTATTTATTCCATCCTGCTTCAGAAAAGGCCCGCTGAAACCGATGCACTCAAATACAATACGGTCACATTTAAAATAAGTGGAAAAAGAATAAGTGGGTGAGGGAGAAAGAAATAAGGCTTGAGAGATATCTGAAAAGACAAGCTTGAGCCAGGGAGTGATCTTAGCAAGCAGAGCAATGCAGCAGTATCCCGCACACTTGTTAGAAGTGGGCCACAATCAGGCTCCGAGCTCTGGAGCGCCACACAAAGATAAAGCCCTACCAGCTGAATTATTCATCAGGCCCTTAAGATTACAATGAGGGGGAGGCAGAAGAGGAAAAGGAAATTTACTCAAAAGAACTGCAATATTCCTGGCAGTGGGAGAGCAACCTCTCCCTTGGGCCCTCTTAAAGAAGGCGCGGTATGTCCACTGCTTTTCTAAGCGATAAATCTATTTTTTCAGGTGTTCTTTATTTTGACATCCATTCTCTTCCTGACTCACTCCTAACAGGTAGGATCAGTTCGATCGAGAGTCTGAGGCTGATAAAGGAAGGATTTATATACATGTGTGTGTACATATGTGGGGAGCAGGGGGTCGTAAGGGACAGCGTACTTTTTTAAAGACCTGTAGGCACACAAACAGTGTTTCACAATAAAAAGAGAAAACTTTTTTTTTTTTAAGTCCCAAAACAAAAGTTTTCTTTACTCAGAAGAATACTGAGAGGAACGCCAGTATACTCCATTCCCAACACAAAACCCACGTTTCCTTGTCCTCCAATCCTAGAAGCCAGGAGAAGCAAGAGAGGAGTTCAGAGAAGGAAGAGGGTGAGAATCATTAAAGAATAACACAGATCATTTCTGGTTGGCTGGTTTTGTCATTAATAAGCATAAGATTTTGAAGACAAAGAGTGCAAGTTTCCTTTTCGGCAGTTTCCATGCATATCTTTTAGTAAGAGTAAGGACCTCTCTCTCTCTCCGCCCCCCCCCCCCCACACACACAGGCACCCAACACACTTACCTTGTTAAGCCACTTTAGCCCTGGTATCGTATTTGAGTTTATCTGTTCCTCCAGCCATGGGCGCATCCGCATCCTTTCCACCGGCATGGTACCCTTTTGCAGAAGAGAAACATGGTATCAGGCAATTTTGCTAGCGACTGTCACGTCTGAACTGTAAAGTGCTACACCTCTCTCTAGCACTTATCTTCATCCTATTTGCATGTAAATTTAAATTTAATGTGGGATTCAGAAGCAAAAATGAGGCCCATTCAAGCCTCCAGCTATCAACCCCATGGGCAGTGTGACATCATCCTCTTTTCAACCCCTAGCTGTATCTTCCTCCTTTTACTTGTTTTCTCCTCTAAAAATGAGCTCTGAAAATTCTACTGCGATGAATTTGGGTTGACTTGATCAAAGTCTCACTCTCTCTTCCAGCTTGCAGAGGACTTGTCTCTCCTCTGTGCCTCCCCAGCTCATGCCAGAGTTCAAGTATCAGTCCACGAACCATGTGGGACCACAGCCTTGGCCTCAGGAGTCTAATTCCATTCTAGAACTCAATTCTAGAACCAGTACATCTCTCCCAGTTCATTTTATTTTATTTTTTATTTATTTATGATAGTCACACACAGAGAGAGAGGCAGAGACATAGGCAGAGGGAGAAGCAGGCTCCATGCACCGGGAGCCTGACGTGGGATTCGATCCCGGGTCTCCAGGATTGCGCCCTGGGCCAAAGGCAGGCACCAAACCGCTGCGCCACCCAGGGATCCCCTTTTTTTTCTTTTATTTTTTTTTAATTTTTTTTATTTATTTATGATAGTCACACACAGAGAGAGAGGCAGAGACATAGGCAGAGGGAGAAGGAGGCTCCATGGCACCGGGAGCCTGCATCTCTCCCAGTTCAGATCCACTCACTGTTGCAGACGCCTCACCTCGGGCTCCTTGCTCATACTGCACTCTCTGCTCCTCCCTCCCTACGCTTTGCCCATCCCTACCCATCCTCCAAGACTCAGTTTCTGCTCTCTCCTTCTCCACAGGCCTTCTCAGACCACTCCAGCCTGAAGAAATCTTCCTCCTGGACTTCCCTAATTCTCACGGATCTTACATTGCTCTTTTGAGAATCAAACATTGCTTCAGAGCAGCTTTTCTATGCTGTCTTTATTCTTATCCAACTCTCATCTATAAACTTTTCCACTGTGTACACCTCTCTCTCTTCCTAACCAAACAGTAGGCTCTTTGAGGGCAGGAACTCTACCTCCCGTAGGTCTTTTTATATTCCTACAAAGCCCAAAGGTTGCCTTCCACCCAGGAGATGTTTATTTTTTTTTTAATTTTTATTTATTTATGATAGTCACAGAGAGAGAGAGAGAGAGAGAGAGAGAGAGAGAGAGGCAGAGACATAGGCAGACATAGGCTCCCATGTGGGAGCCCGATGTGGGATTCGATCCCGGGTCTCCAGGATCACGCCCTGGGCCAAAGGCAGGCGCCAAACCGCTGCACCACCCAGGGATCCCCCAGGAGATGTTTAAACAAGATCCAGACCAGCCCTGAAAGGTCAGCCAAGCCGGGCTGCCATTGTGGGTTGGCCCTGACCACTCATATGGAGGCTTCAGGCCATCATTCTTTGAGGTAAGTAATAGGAAGCTCAGGGACAGGCCCAAAAGGGCCCCCAACACAGATGCTCTTAGTGGTTCTGAATTCATCCCATCCCCTCATGCATTCATCCACTCATTCAAGGATCACTTATTGAGAATATTCCAGGAAAGGGCGAGACATCCTCTAGCACCTAGAAACTCCCAGTCTAACAGAACACAGGAAGGAAGAGATTACCACACCACATGAAGAGCCCTGTGTACCGAATGATACTAGAAAGTAGTCGGCAACGGACAGGGTGACAGAGTCAGGCTGGCCCTGCGGGGCCTGGAAAACCATGCCTGAGATTCTGGTCATCATCCCCAGACTGAAGGGAGGAGAACCGGAAGTTAATGCAAATGAATGATATGATTAATCTTGTCAACAGTAAAGGGAAGGGCTGATTACAAAATCCAGACCAGGGCTTCACCAACTTGAACGGGGACACAAATCTTGATTTGGTAAGTCTAGGTGAGCCCTGGGATTCCGCAGTTCTAATAAAGCTCCAAGGCCCTTGGACCAGACTCTGAGGAGCAAGGCTCTCGATTGCCTTTTATTTTTAATTATGAGCCACCTCCTCTTCTGCACTCTTCCCGCAAAGTCTGGTCATCCTAGCAGGCAGACCCCTTCTATTAGTCTCAGCAGGTCAGGTTCCAGATAACCTGTCTGTCAGTCCATCCCTTGTTTACATGCTGTGCCTTTCTAACAAGGACACAGCTCAACCGAACTTCAGCCTATCGCTTACCCAGCCAATCACACATGTAAAAAATGGTCTAAATCTTTAATCAGGACTGTCATTAATCATCAGCAGATTTTTCTGGAAAAACAAAGACAGCAAGTATTGCCTTATCAGAGTAGGACAGGCTCATTTACAAAGGGCTTCTCTTATTCCAGGTTCTACATTTTGTTTTATTTTAAACACCCAGGACGTCCCCGATGTCACACAGAGAAAAAACTAATCCTTTTACATGAAAATACTTCCTCTATTTATATTTGATTTTACAGCCTGGCCGCACGCCCCACACACTAACTAGGTAATGAATTACCAGTGGTCTCCCCACCCGGCACAGAAGAGAACAGGTGCCGTCTGACACAGATTTCCCATGGCTATCACAAGTTGAACGCACATCCTGACTTCTGCGGAAGAAAGCAAAGATGGAATTCTATATTGACCCTAGCACCAGAAATTCATCATTTAGTTTGACACAAAAAATAAATTAGATTTCCAGAGATGAAAAGGCTGGGAGGATAGTCACAGAGGGTTAGAGACCAGATAGTAGGGAAAGATGCTTCCTTGGCCTGCGTCTTCTAGCTCTGTCGATGAAATTTACGGGGACAGATTGGTCTTCCTGTTATAAGGCAAGGTTCCCATAGACCCCTGGTCTGATGGGCCACATGAGACTCGTGGGAAAGGCATGGAAATGCTTAGAAAGACAAAGAGGTGCTATTTTTTGCCAAGAGAACCAAAATCTGCCAGAAATCGAGGCACTTGTGTTCCAGCCCTGACCTTGCCATTACTGGTGTGTGTCCTCGGGCTAGTCACTCAAACCCTCTGGTCTGCACTTTGATCATCTAGGAAAATAAGAGGTTTCAAAAAGATAACTTCTCAAGTGAGCTATGACCCTAGGAATCCTCCTGTAACAGGAAGGCTCGTCATCTGCTTTATCTTTTTTGTAAGCTTCTGATCTTGTACACTGGGTTGTTTTTAAAAGTGAAATGCTTGAGGCGCCTGGGTGGTTCAGTAAGTTAAGTGGCCAACTCTTGATTTCAGCTCAGGTCATGATCTCAGGCTCCAGGGATCGAGCCCCATGTCCGTCCATCCGTCCATCCATCAGTCCAGCTCTGTATTCGGTGGAGAGTCTACATGAAGATTCTCTCTCCCTCTCCCTCTGCAACTCCTGCCGCTCGCACGTATGCACACATTCTCTCCAAAATAAATCTTTTTTTTAAGTGAAATGCTAAAATCTTATAATTCTATAAACCTAAAATATGAAGCAGCTACCCTCAAGCTTGACAAAAGGCACTTTCTAAAATCACCTATCATTACACCTTTGAGATGTGAGGTTGGGATCATCTTTAAAACCGTAATATCAGCCTCTAAATCAGTTCAGTACATGGAGGGTACTTAGAATATTAATGGCACCAGTGATGCTGCATAAATGTATGCAACAGTCCCCCATGAAGTTGACAATGGTATGGTCATGTTCACGGCCAGTAACAATAATCTTGAATTTTAACCTAAATAACTGATTTTTGGATCTTGGAATAGTAACAGCAATGGTTACCATTTACTGAGCATATACTATATGCCAACCCATTAAAACCAGAGTTTTCTGAGTTTCTCATGTAATTCTTATAACCCTAAAAAATAAGGACTTTAGTATTCCATGTTATAGACAACAGGATAGGTAAAGGAATTGCTTAAAGACAATCTGCTAGTAAGGAGGAAGCCAAGACTCTCACTCGGATCTCTCTGAAATGCCCAACTTCAGAAACCCTAACACCTGCTCTTTTCTTAGTCTAGAAAGTACTCAGTTATGATGGTCTTTTAACTGTTCTACTTACTGAGCCTTTCCCAACTCCTGTCTGTTTTGCATACCACTGACATATTAAATTTCCTAAAATACCACTTAAATCATGTTAATGTTCTGTTCTAGAGACTTCTAAACATCCCTGCTGGATTTAATAATAAAATCCTTGGCTGAGATGAGGGGGGCGGTGCGCTTCTGGTAATGACACAATAGGTAATTCAGACCTAACTCCCAAGGTGAATAACAAGAAAACCTATACAAAACATTCTTTTTTTTAAATCTGTTTAAAAGGATCAGGGAAGTAACAAGTAGGAGAGCAGGATCTGGGGGAAGAAAGAAACCCAGGAAGGTAAACCTGATGTTCGGAGCGCTCTTATCCTAGCCTGGAGGCATCTGCCAATTCCAGGATAGAAGGCTGCAGGGCACAGAAGCTGAGCAAAGCTTCTAACACATTCGGGTGACCAGGAGGACAAGAATTGAAGATCAGGACCTAAACTAGGAATAGGGAGTCCTGGAAACCACACACTCACCCGCCACCACCCCCAAGCTTCGTTTGGGATAAAACTAAATGGAAATAGACTAACCTCAAAGACTGAAGTCGAGCTTTGAATCACCTCAATCCCTGATCAAATTAAAATAACCTGGAACTCCCAGAAGTAAATGTAATCATATCTTGAGGAAGATAACATTATCCTAGGATTTATATTATCTCTGGAGTTTTTCATACACCAGCAATATAGCTGAGAACACAAGGATAAAAGGCAATGAAATAAAAAAAATCAATGAAATATGAACAACAAAAACAGATCCACAGGGATTCAGACATGAGTCTTAAACAGATATAAGGGATACAGAGATACCAAAAGTTTTCGGACACAGCCTTTAACACAAGTATGCCTCACATGTTCAAGGAACTAAAAGACAAGATGGACAATGTTGGCAGAGAACTAGAAA